ATCACTGTGTATTGTAGGTACTTTGTGATGATTGTGCACTTCCTCCTCAGTAACTGTGGTTTATGTACTCAGGTTTGCTGGTGCTTTCACTTTGCGGCAGCGAATGCTCAACTTTGTCCAGAATATTCAGTACTATATGATGTTTGAAGTGATGGAACCGACCTGGCACATCCTTGAAAAAAACCTGAAATCTGTGAGTTTCTGTTCTTCAGAAATATACGTAGCATCTGAAAGGCTCTTTCCCAGCCAAAGTGCGTTTCATAGCGCCATCATGTGCTAGCCAGGTGTCATGGTGGCCACAAAAATGTCCGCAATCTCACATCTGCCTGCTTCCTTCTCATGTGCAGATAGGGCTTCCTTCCAACATGGGGCATGAGAGAGGAGACAGGGACAGAAGGGATAGAGACAAGTAGTTTCTAAGAGGTCACAGACCTATTGAGACAATAGAAATGTACAGGCAGTAGAGTACCAAGCAGAACTGAAAACCACATGCACAGTATCTTCAAGGAAGTCTCAGGCCTTTGTTTGCAGGCTTCCAACATTGATGACGTCCTTGGCCACCACACAAGTTTCCTTGACAACTGCCTGAAGGACTGCATGCTGACCAACCCTGAGCTGCTGAAGGTTTTTTCCAAGCTCATGTCTGTGTGCGTCATGTTTACCAATTGTATGCAGGTGAGGACAAGGAGGCAACATGGGAATGTTTAATGTCTGGGCTGTTGCCAAATTCTGCCCTGTCCCACAACTTCTGCCCTTGCAGAGCTCCTGGTCTTTGTGGCCAGTCCATCCCATTCTGGTTGTGAAGCTTTCTAGGGGCCCTCCCTTATTTCTTATAGTGTCCCTGGTACTGGTCTCTGTCTTAGGCCTCTTCTGAATGCCTTGGCATTCATTTGTCAAAGTGAGTATTAAGTTTGGTCAAACTTGTCACAAGCAGTTGTCCAAAATAATGCAGAAAATATCAGAAGACAGAAGAGTAGCCTGGTCTCTGGGCTGGAGGATGCTGGGAGCCAGGTGCTTTTCAGGCATCACTTTGGAACAGACAGGAGGTAGAGATGTAGGTGTTGATGCGTTATAGAGGAGACAAGACTGTGAAGCCCAATCCTTAGATGTTTAGGGCCCATGTTAATTCCATATAAGAAAACATGAAACAACTTTTATGAAAATTAGTTGATAATCATTGAGAAATGTAGACTTGCAAATGCTGAGAACTAATGTCCTGTCTACGGCTTTGTGTCCCTGTGTCTCTGGGTTGGGTAATGTGTACCTATAGATACCCGCTGTCTTCTATGGAACGTTGTATCTAGAACTAAACATAACCTTTCCTCATGGCCCACCCTTAGAAATTTACACAGAGCATGAAACTGGACAGTGAGCTAGGCCGGCTGACACTGGAGCAGGGTAGTGTGCAGGGGCCACCTGCAGAGACTGAACGGATTGAAGATCGCCCCCGGAAAGAGCCTGCCAGGAAGGTATGTGGCCTTGGAGTTTGTCCAGAAAGACCCTCTTCCTAGTCAGCTGTGACAGTATTAGCACTGCAAACTTAAGAAAAGAAAACCTTAAACAAGACAAATATAAAGCCGGATGTGGTGGCATATACCTGGATCCCAGCACTTGGAAAGTGGAGTCAGAAGAACTCCTTGTTCAGAACCAGCTTCAGCTCCATAAAAAGTTTGAGACCAGACCTGTCTCAAAAACAAACAATCAAACAAACAAACAAAAAAGAAAACATACAAACCATTTATCTCCCTTTCCTGGCTGTCACCCATGTGATGGGGAAAAAAAACAGGTCCTGCAGTTAGGTTGGAAACACAGCCACTAGAATCTTCCCTCTTCTCAACACAGCCTCTAGACATCTGGCCTCCAGGGTGTGGCAAAGCCGTCTATACAATGGTATTGTGTGGAGTAGGCCTGGCTGCCCTAGAGCGCAGAGCTTTGCTTGGCTGCAATCGGTGTTTAGTGCGTATTCTGATTAGAACAGTCAGCTGGTGCAGATGACCTATGCAGCCTTTAGGATTTGTGGTCATGTGTTAGCAAATGGGAGATGGTCTAGGAGCATGTGAGGGTCAGAAGCCATGGACAATAGGAAATAAGGTCTATCCTCCCTGCATCTTAGTGGCCAGGAGTAAGCACACTAGTTCTGAAATCAGACCTACAGAGAGCACATAGTACCTTGCTCTTGGTTCTTGATACTGTGAGTCTGGAGAAGCCCCAGTGTGCTGGGCCTGCTACCCTAAGTATTTCTCCATTTGCTGTGTTCTGATGCCCCAACTTCCCATCTTTTATAACATAGGAACATCACAACTTTTCATTAAAAAACTAGGGAGTGTGAGTATGATTGTATATACCTGCAATCCCAACATTTGGAAGGTAGAAGCAGGAGGATCAGGCATTCAAGGTGAGTTCAAGGCCAGCCTGGACAACATGAAATTGTCTCCAAAAAAGAGCCAGAAGTGGGGGCACATGCCTGTAATCCCTGCACTCAGGAGGCTGTGGTAGGAGAATTACAAGCCAGGTTGAGCTATGGTAGCAACAGTCTGTCTCAAAACTAAAAAAGCAAAGAAACAAAAAGGGGAAGAGCATCCTGTAGCTTGCAGAGAGGCTGAGTACCTACCTGGTAACCACTACTGAGCTTCCTGCGGCTTGTTTCCAGCACCTGTCCGAGCATGTGGATACTCCTCAGCTGGCCCCTGGTTTGGAGGCCACCATCAATAACTTTGACAAAAACTTTTCTGCCCATCTTCTTGATTTGCTGGCCCGACTAAGTGTCTACAGCACCAGTGACTGTGAACATGGCATGGCCAGTGTCATCTCCAGGTAAGTAACACCTGACTTTGAAGCCTAGCCCTGCCATCTGCTTTTACTGTAGCCCTTGCTCCCCATAGCCCCCCAGCAGCAGGCACCCTAATCCGGGCAAAGGCCGAAGAAGGAAGAAGGGCCAGCTGTGAATACTCTGGTGAGGGGGTATTTGCTTATCATTGGAATAGGAAGGGTCTCTGACTTCATCCAGGAATTAGGTACCATCCCTGAATTGCCCTTTGAAAAGTGCTAGTTTGGACATTGGGACCATCTAGCACCCTGTGCCACCCTACAATACCCTAGTTTCTAGGGTCACTAGCACTGAAAGTCATTGCCAGGCTTCCCGAGCCTGGGGTATCCTCAGACTCCCATTGCCAGGAGATGCTGGGTGATGGGAACCCTAACCCATGGTGTTCAGTAGAGCTCACCAGGGTTGAGACTTGCTAGTGTACCCATGTACTGGCAGATAGAGCATGCCCCTCCCTCTGCCTGGGCAGAACCTGTGTATCTTCTCAGCTTAGGCTGGACTCTGCTCTATCCTAGAGTTTCCCTAACTCTCCTTCCTCTCCCCTAAAGGCTGGATTTCAATGGTTTCTATGCCAAACGCCTGGAACGTCTGTCTGCAGAGAGGAGTCAGAAGGCTGCCCCCCAAGTGCCTGTCCCAAGGGGGGCCCCAGCACCAACACCCAGGATGGCCATCCCTGCACAATGAGCTCCCTTTTAAATATCTTCCTGGAACGTGGGTGTTGTGTGTCATTACTGTTTAAATGTGGTTGGAGTTTCCATCTTGGCTCAAGGAGTTTCTTCTTCAAGGTGCTAGATTTCCTTTTAGAAGTTTTCCAGAGGGCTGGCTCGATGGCTCAGTCAGTAATGCTTTCTGTGCAAGTGTTCGGACCTGAGTTCAGATCCTTGCCGTCTGTCTTCGTTAGGGCTCTTATTGCTATGATGAAACACCATAAGCAAAAGCAACTCAGAGAGGGTGGGGTTTGTTTGATTTTACAGCGTGTAGTCTAGTCCATCATCCAGGACAATCGGGGCAGGAACCTAGAGACAGGAACTATACAGAGGCCGTGGAGGAATGCTGCTTACTGCTTTCTCCCATGGCTTACTCAGCCTGCCTTTCATCACACCCAGGACCAGGACCAGGACCAGGACCAGGACCAGGACCAGCTCAGAGGCAGCACTGCCCGCAGTGAGCTGGCCCCTCCTGTGTCAAACATCAGTCACGGAAATGTACCTTGTGGGGCATTTTCTCCATTGAGGTTCCCTCTTATTATTATTTATTTTTGTTTTATGTGCATTGGTGTTTTGACATGGGTGTCGGGCCCCCTGGAACTGGAATTATAGACAGTTGAGAGCAGCCATGTGGGTGCTGGGAATTGAACCCAAGTTCTCTGGAAGAGCAGTCAGTGGTCTTAACCACTGAGCCATCTCTCCAGCCTGAGGTTCCCACTTCTACAATGACTCTAGCTTGTATGAAATTGATGTAAATTTCACCTAGCACACCACCTACATAAAAAGTTGAGTGTAATTGGATGGAGGTGGGAGGATTCCTAGGGCTTACTGGCCAGCCAGTCTAGCTAAATCATGAGCTCAAGAGACCCATAAATAAATAAAAACTAAAAAATAGGGTGGAGAGTAATAGAGGAAGTAAACTGATGTCAGTCTCTCACTTCCACACGCACACACAAATAAGTACATGTACTTGCAAAAAGAATAAAAATGGAGCCAGGCAGCGATGGCACAAGCCTTTAATCCCAGCACTTGGGAGGCAGAGGCAGGCGGATCTCTGTGAGTTCAAGGCCAGCCTGGGCTACAGAGTGAGTTCCAGGAC